GAAGCAGGAAAAAAAGTAAATCATACTCAGCTTGTGCAAGAAGATCACACAAACTGATTATAAACAATGACATAACACAATCACCAAATGATTCACTGAAACAATTGTAAATATTATCAGAAACTAGTGGGGACATAAAGTTGAAAAGGTAGTCAAAAATAAGCAGGTTAAAATATCGTGGGGTTTCTGGATAGACTGATAACGTCTTGACTCACAACACACCAGATTTAAATGTGGTTGAAAAGAAAAGATAATTGATGTGGCAATACCAGGAGATAGTAGAAGGCAAACAATTGGAAAAGATCACAAAATATCAAAATCTGAAAACTGACATTGAAAGATCATGGCATAAACTGGCTGTGGTGGTCCCAGTGATTATCGGCACACTGGGTGGCACACCAAAAATCTTGGATAGCACTTACAAAATCTGAGCGCTGAAAAAATCTCCACCTCTTCAATTGCAAAAGGCCACACTACTTGGATCCTCACTTACTCACAACACAATTCCCTATGCCTCCAGGCTTGAACTTTTGGAACTGTGCCGAGTGCGGTCCAATCTAAGCATAGTACACAAAATTGTCTGCTACAACATCTTGCCTGTCAACGACTTCTTCAACTTCAACCACAATAATACACGGGCAAACAATTGATACAAACTCAAGGTAAACCGCTTCAAACTCGATTGCAGAAAATATGACTTTAGCAACAGAGTGGTCAATGCCTGGAATGCTCTACCTGATTCCAGCCTCAAACCCTCACAGTTTCAATCTCAAACTGTCTACCATGGACCTCACCCCATTCTTATGAGGGCCGTAAAGGGGGCGTGCATAAGTGCACCCACGTTCCTACCATCCCTGTTTTACTGTCCCCATTTATATGTATTTACTTCCTTTGTTCATGTTTATGTTCATACCTATACTTGTTATCTTGTATAAGTTTGACAAACAAAATAAATAAACAAACTACATTAATACATTACATCATAAGTTCTTGGGAAGAAATGATGCATATGAAGGCCAAAACAAACTAAAGAACTGACAGCTGTGACTTCACCTTCTTATGAAGAGATTATTATGACAATAAAATAATGTCTGCTCTGACTGATAACAGTTGTTCCACATTCTAAAATAGAGATTTCTTGTATCCACCCTGGAAATGAGAGATGCTCAGGACTGAGCTCAGAATAACTTGCCAACAACACTTGTATTCTCTAACTGACAACATTCAGTCCTTTCCCAGGAAGTTTTTGTGAATGTTGTATACAAGAAAGAACAGCCTGACTATGAATTAAGGAGACAGGATTTCCTTAAGGACACTGTATGTCTTTTACTTCAAAAGGGAAAAGTGTGGTAGCAACTTTTGTGGCTAACAAATTGTATTAACAAGCATAAAAGTTTGGTGAAGCAAGGCTCACTTTATCAGATGCATAGTCAATAGAGATACAGTTCACATGAGAAGCTAATCAGAAAAGGTACCACCAGAACCTGATTTTTTACTACTATAGACTAGCATGGTTCCTTTCCTACAATGTCTTCAAGAAGCCAATCTGCTGCTCTTATCTCATACTTTGAACCCAAGTTGCTGAATAGAGAAAGTAACAACTCTCTTGTGCACCTGATGTAGACATTGTCAGCGCCTGTCTTCTGGGAATCCATTTCCACAAAAGAGAAAGAGGGAAAAGGAAGAAGACAGATTGTATCTAATCCTTGCCATTTGTGCTACAGATATGGCTAGGTTATCCTTTCCCTGACTGCTAAACAAGTGGGTTTCTGCAGTTTAGACCAATAAGAGGATGGCAGCTTGTAGTTCCCACATGCCTTAGTTGAGCATGGAGAGGAACAGGATAAAACATCTTGAACAGCCTGAATAAGGACTCTAGCGTGTCCTTACACGCTACAGGTGATTCTCTGTTCTCAGGAGGTTGCGTAACAGGAAAGAACAGAATATTTTCACAGGACGAAAGGGAAGCCATGCAACAGCCATCTTCCTGGGCTTCAAACCATAAACAATAGTTTGGCTTGGGGAAGGGGAGAATGCCACTGCCTGTTGTCCTGATAAGTTTCCATCTTGTAGTTCAGAAGCAGTATGGCTCATTCATTGAGTTGCTATCTCCTGTCAAGCTATGCTAAGCCCAAATCATCACACTATAACTTGTTTTAATTAGAGTTTGTGGAAGAAGCCCATGGATCATGCTAAATGTATCTGGTTTGAGCTTAGAGTGTGGTAGAAATCCAACCGTTACAGCTGGTAAACAATTTTTATGGCTAACTACAGGGATGAGCAGGTCATGGGCCATATGTGCCCCCTCCATCCCTCCACTGGGTACCCTGAGAACATATCACTGAATTTGGAAATATAAAGAAGCCAAATTTTCACAGCAAGGTTGTCTTCATTTGTTGCTTAACATGGGGAAACTGGGAACCTCCCACTTACAATTTCACATACCAAATTGGGGTAAACTTCTGACATGAAGAATCTTTGATCACGTACATGTGTGCCCACCAGGATGCAACATCTACAATGCCTTCTCCCTGCTTTCAGAGGGAAAGGAGGGCTTGTGAAGACACAGAGTCATTTCCTGCAACTTTCATGTTAAACAATTTGCCTCACAAATCAGGGTTGTAAGTCATTAAAATGAAATGCCTTCATTTACGGATTGTTTTGTTTTCTACAATATTCTGGGCAAGCTTTCTATTTCAAAGTCAGTTTGGTGAAGTGGCTAAGGTGCTGGCCTAGAAACCAGGAGACAGGGAGTTCTAGTCCTGCCTTAGGCACAAAAGCTGGCTGGGTGACTTTGGGGCAGTCACTTTCTCTCAGCCCAATTCATCTCACAGGGTTGCTGTTGAAAAAAAATAGGAAAAGGAAAGCTTATTTAAGTTTGCCGCCTGGAGTTACTTGTAATAAAGATGGGGATAAAAATATAATAAATACAGGTAGTCCTCCATTTACAAGTTCATTTAATGACCATTGGAAGTTTCAATGGTACTGAAAGTGACGTGATCATTTTCCACACTATTGCAACATCCCCATGGTCATGTGAAAATATCCCGGGGAAGTTCCCAGGGGGAAAAAAAGGGGAGGGAGGGAATGGGAACTGAGCAAGTATCTACATTCAGATGCTTGGCAACTGATTCATATTTATGACCTTTGCTGCGTCCCAAGTTATGTGATCACCTTGTGACCTTCTGACAGGCAAAGTAAATGGGGAAGCCAGATTGACTTAACAACTGCACTGATTCACTTAACAAATGTGGCAAAAAAGGTGGTAAAATGGGGCAAAATCCACTTTAAAAAAGTCTTGCTTAGCAATGAAAATGTTGGGCTCAATTGAGGTTGTAAGTCGAGGAATATCTGTAATATAATTGATCTTTTGCAGGGTCTTAGAAACAAGGAGGGTATGAGGTGGCTGATTGTCACTGTTTTATCTGTAATGCATTCAAGTGCCTCAGATTGTGGCAAGAGCATACAAACAAACAAACATTTGATAAAGTGATTTATCATGCACAGATATTTGGAAAGAAGAATTGTAATCCTGTTAACATACAGTGGTGCTTAAAAATGGATGAACTCTGGATTTTTCACTATTTCTGTATAAATATGACATAATCTATTCTCCACATAAGACCTAAAACTAGATAAAGGAAAACCAATGAAACCAATGAGAAAAAAAAATTATACTGCTCTCTGGATTTCCTCCTGAGGGGAGCAAAAAAACCAGGACCCAACTTATGGAAAAGTCAAACTTTTGAGGGGGTCAATCAATCAGAAAAGAGCTGGAAGGGACCTTGGAGGTCTTCTAGTCCAACCCTCTGCTCAAGCAGCAGACCCTACACCATTTCAGACAAGTGGCTGTCCAGTCTCTTCTTAAAAAACTCCAGTGATGAAGCAACTTCTGGAGGCAAGCTGTCCCACTGGCTCATTGGCCTCCCTGTTAGGAAGTTTCTCCTTAGTTCCAGGTTGTGTCTCTCCTTGATTAGTTTCCATCCATTGTTTCTACGTTGGTAAATAAGTTAAAATAAATAAATAAGTTGGTAAATATGTTAAACAAGAGACCAGCTCTCAGCACCTCTTCTCTTCCACTTGTTTACACTTATTTTGTAGACCGGCATTAAAAAAGGAAACGAGGGGGCAAAGCCGGGAGCCGGGGAAGGAGATGGCAGGAAACTTGGACAAAAAGTCTAGGGAAGCCTCGGGGTCCAGCAAGCCAGCTTTCCTGCATCCCCTTCCCCACACCCCATGGCGGTTGCCAGGCTCTCTCCCCTCGCGTGCACCCACCCCGCATTTAAAAAAACAAAAAACAAAAACCCCAGACAAAACTTTGAAGGCGCAACCAGCGGCGAAAGGAAACAGGTGTTAACCCTTCCGCGGCTACGCCCGGTTTAGGAGCTGCTTGGTGAAATCGGAGCGGCCAAATCTCCTCGTCTCCAGGCCGGGCAGGAGAACAAAACTTAAGCCCGAGTGAAAGTCGCCTCAGCCGCGCGCGAGAGAAATGGGAATTTAGGGAGGGAGAAGAGGAGGAGGAGGAGAAGGGGGAGACCCAGACGACGCTGGGAAGGAAAAACGCTTCCAATGAGCTCGGGAGGCAGCCCCGCTTTTGTTAGGCAAGGGGGGCGACGGGTGGGCCTGGCTCGAGGTGAAGGGTGAGCCATGCAGCCTCCTCCAACGAGAGCGGCGTCCCGGGCGAGCGAGGTAAGAGCTGAGCTGAGGGATCTCGCGCCCTTTTTTTTTTTTTTTTTTTGCAGGAATCCGGACAGGATTATTATTATTATTATTTTATTTTATTTTGCAAGCGGGAGCGAAGCGCTTCGTTGCGTTCCGCCTTCCGGGGACGCTTTGAAAGACGCCAAGTGGGAAAGGCGACCCCCCCCCCAGCAAGGGGGTGGGTCGTCGAGGGTTTTGATTTGAACACCTTCTTGCGCTGCAAAACTCCGAATCCCTGGGAAAATAGGATCAACCCTGGAATTTAAGCGGAGATTTAAGTCGTGGTTACCCCGGTACGTGTCCCTTGGGCTGAAAAGTCCGGCTTTGTTTGGTTAGGATTGACTTCCATAGGGGAGCGAGCAGCCTTCACTCTCCGCCTTGACACTTGCCCATTTCCCTCTTCCCCCTCTCTCTTTTTTTTCCTGGGAACTTCCCCCGGATATTTTATCAGGAATCCGGGCGAAGCGGCGGAAAGGTTTACGTTGTACTAAACCTGTCCCAGCAAACTTCCCAGGAAGAGTCTGCGCGCGCGCGTTGCGAACCGGGCGAAATTCCCTCTCAACTTTTTGTTGTTGTTGCTCCTAGCTAGCCACTGACTGAACGCGGGGAAACGGAGGAGTCTTGCGCTTGAACTACCAGCTAACTTTAGGGGGGGGGCGTCTGATTTGTGAAAGCTTTTGCCCCGTTTGCCGGACTCTTATCTAAGGGTTGTGGCAGAAAGCAGCAGAGAATGAACGTGCTTAGTAAACATTCAGTCCTGGAAGTTTCATTTGGTGGAATCTACTGGGAATGTTGCTGCCTGGATTCGTGCGCGTAGCGGTGGAATAATACAGCTCAAAAGGTGAAAAAAAAATGTTGAAGCGAACGGGTGTGTGTGGGGGTGTGGGGGGGGGGGGGGGGAGCAAATTAACTCCAACAAGCAATTTACCCCTCTTGTCTGATGGTGATGCAGATACTATCAGCCTAGAGAATACCAGCCATTGGGTAAAGTCTGTGGGATAGACATGTTCTGGTCTTCCAACCAGAATGAATGGCCCCAGAGGTGCCTTGCAGAGATGTTTCCTTTGGTGAAAGTTGCAGGTGAATATTTGATGTTATTAGAAAACTCTCTCGATTTGCATGCTGTATGCTACCTGGGGATGGAGGAGAAGAGGCAAACTCCGAAGGCAGCAGCCATCAGATTTCCTTTTCTTCCAGAGGAACTGAAAACAGGCACAGTTTTTGGAAGAGATGTTGAAAGAACATGACTTAAAACCCGGCTGTTTTGGAGGATCCAAAGATCAGGACTTAATTTTTGGTTAGAGATTACAGTTTTGCCAGATTTAGGCTGGAAGTCGGTCCCCCCCACCCTTTCATTCTGGCTGTTGCTATTAACCTCAGTACCACAAAAGTTTCAGTTTTTACACCGGAGGGCTAATCTGTTTTCACAAAACCTGGTTGCAGAAGGTTGGGTTTCAGTCAGCTTGATGACCTGATCATCCTTAAGAGGTTCTTTCAGCCTGTTGTTAATTAAATTCCCCTCACAAGTCTTGTGCAGAGGTTTAAAGGGGGACACTGAGAGGTATGTCTGCATTCAGCTGAAGTTCAAAGCAAAGTGCTTTGTGCGCATAGTATCCACACAGGACCTTCTCTGTTGTGTTTAAAATATATCTTAAAAAAGTAAATCAGCATATAGTTTAACAAAATGATTGTTGCTTTGGAGAAACAGTGGTGGGTTGGCATGATTCTAATCTGCCCCTTTTCCTATTAGCCTAATTGTTGAATGTTTTCTGGGCTTATATGGGTCCTCGTGTCTCTTGCTTCCTAGAGAGGAGGTTGGGAAGAGAATGGCTGGGGAGAGAGGAAAATTCTGCGGCTGGTTCGCAGCCCTATTCAGAACAGATGTTCTACATCTGGGGACAAAAAGTGGACAAATTTAAATGGTGAAATGTTTGTGGCCTCACAAACACAGAAATGGCATGTGTCTCTCAAGTTCTGTGGAATAGCTGGGTTACCTTACACAGAATATGATACATGCCATTTTTGCGTTAGGTAACCCAGCTATTTAAGCAGTTAGGTATGATTTACTGTACATGTGGCATAAAGACTGGCATGGTGTGTGTTCAAAGTCAAAGATTTATATGTGAATTGATCATCTATCAGGAAGTCCAGCGTGTTTCTTTGAAGAGTGCATCCCGCCCCCCCAAAATTTATCCTGGTTCATAGTGAGGAAAGAATAAGCTGTAAGATCTTCCAACAGAGAGAATGGAACACAAATGGTAACTTTCATTCTCTTCTATCCTAAAATATCTGCACCCAGTGAAAGTTTTAACTTTGCTTTCTGTTTTGGACTGATATGCTATTTTAAATACTTAGTATAAACACCATGAATGTTTACTCATATTTTTCCATATACTTTCTTTCATCTAGTAAGGCTACGCACAAACTAATTAAGCTGCTGAAAATGAGCTTCCAAACATACTCGGCTGTAGCCCAAAATCAGCCTTTTTCCCTTCCTTTCTCTCTCTCTCTGCTCCCAATTATAAAAGTTCAAGTGCTTTACTTTTTGTCCTCTAGGTTTTTGCTGAGTTTATTCCAGAGATCTGAAATTGGTGATGGGGCAATGGGCAAAAACCAGTCCCTCCAATTTAATGGTCATCTTTATTTTTAACTGATACAATTAGTCCATTGTTCAAAGATGACCTTTTCCTAAGCCTCTCCTACAAAAGTGAGTCTTTTTGAAGCTTAACTTGCTTCTTTTGTTTAAGTGGAACCAACCAAAACAATTTTCTTTCTATTACTTCAGCCACCTGAAGAAAGATGTTTCAGGAATTAAAATTGTTTAGGCTGCCATCAGGAACAGGTAACCTAAGGTCTTGAAATTGATGCGCATTGCGCTTCAAGAGTGAGAAAGGTTTCCTACTTGGCTATAAACAGTGATGTTGGGGTTAGTTTCCCTGGTGTATTCATAGACAGGAATAAGTTGCATTGTGACTTGTAAACTGAAGTTGACGTGGAATTAGGTGGGAACTTCTTGCCTCAGAAATTCTGAGTGATTCCTATTTCCTTTCATTGTTTTCAAGCTCTGCCTTTCAAAACTGGGATTTAATTTCATGTGTTTGAATTGTGGCCACCACTCGGGTTTTTCTGTTCAGTGAGATCAGTGGGCATCGAAAAAGATTTCATCGGTACGGTCTTGGGTGACTTAAAAAAACAAACAAACAAATTATTACTGTTCTGGTTGCAGACTGCCTAATCTGGCTAAGAAGGGAATGCCTGTTTTGAGATGATTTCAGATTTGATGACTACAGGGGCATATCCATATGCTTTGCTTGGCAGATGTAGAGAAACGGTTTGCTGTTTCCTACTTGTGGTTTTGGGTTGTTCATTTTCTTTGACTTCCCAGTTAGGTCTGCGCTCCAAGGGGTTTCCTGATGGTATCCTATCTAATAATTATCCAGGTCCAGCTAGCTTTGCTTTCTCAAAATCAGCCAAGGATAGCTAGGTGCTGCCACCTGCTGTGATATAATTTAGTCACCATTGTAAAAATCAGAACAATTTGTGGTGTACAGTAGAAATAGCTATCGGATCCTCGTGATTACCAGCATTAATGTGTGAGTGTATCTAGTGTCTGGGCTGTGACTGCTACGGTTTGTACGTTCTAACACTTAACCTGTGCTGTACGATAGAACAGCTTTTCTTAGCCAGTGTAGTAAACTTAGGTGATCATATAGATAAAAGCTATTATTTCTGCAGGCCTTGTGTGTAGTTAGTGGCACCAGTCAAATATGGGCAGTGCATAGAATTGGATCAAACCACTGTTTCTTCATAGTCTTTGCTTCTACATAATTTAAGGCTGCAACACCCTTGTAGGAGTTGATGTTGGGATTTCAGCTTGTTGCCTTTTGAGTTGTGCTGGGTTAGATCAAACACTCTTTAGCTAATAGTCTTTTGTTTTGTCTCCCTTGATTTTTAAGGGTCCTGGTTTCTGAGATTACCCTGGTTTCTGAGGAGATACTGGCTGTAGGAAGTGCAGACCTTGTACGCAGCAGGAGGAGCAGCAAGTGACTGTCATTCTACACCACGTCTCATCAGTTGCTCGGAAACCTGCAGTCCAGACTGGAACCATGGACTCTGCCAGGGCCCCCCACATGAAGGTCCGGAGCGATGTCAGTGACTACCTCAACTACGAAATCATCAGCAGGCATTACAACTACACCGGGAAGCTCAATGAGAATGCCGAAAGTGGGATTAAAGCAACATCAGTGGTCTTCATCATTATCTGCTGTTTCATCATCCTCGAGAACATCTTTGTTCTGCTGACTATTTGGAAAACCAAGAAATTCCACAGGCCAATGTACTACTTTATTGGTAACTTGGCGCTCTCAGATTTGCTGGCAGGAGTGGCATACATCGCTAACATCCTTCTGTCCGGCTCCACGACTTACACTCTCACCCCTGCCCAGTGGTTTCTTAGAGAAGGAAGCATGTTTGTGGCTTTGTCTGCTTCGGTCTTCAGTCTGCTGGCTATTGCGATTGAGCGATATATTACCATGTTGAAGATGAAGCTCCATAATGGAAGCAATAGTTTCCGTTCCTTCCTGCTCATCAGTGCCTGTTGGGTCATCTCTGTGATATTAGGGGGTCTCCCTATTATGGGGTGGAACTGCATTGGCTTCCTGGAGAACTGCTCCACCGTGTTGCCTCTTTATCATAAGCATTATATCCTTTTTTGCACCAGTATATTTACTGGCCTCTTATTGGCCATTGTGATCCTTTACTGTAAGATCTTCATCTTGGTAAGGACAAGGAGCCGCAGGCTGACTTTTCGGAAGAACGTGGCCAAAGCAAGCCGGAGCTCAGAGAAGTCACTGGCTCTGCTGAAGACGGTGATTATTGTTTTAAGTGTGTTCATTGTCTGCTGGACTCCCTTGTTCATTCTTCTGTTGCTGGACGTGAGATGCAAAGTCAAGGCTTGTCCCATCCTCTTCAAGGCTGAATATTTCTTAGTACTAGCAGTTCTGAATTCAGCCACCAATCCGATCATCTACACGCTTACCAACAAGGAGATGAGGAGGGCCTTTTTCAAGATTGTACGGTGCTGTACGTGTCCCACCACAGACTCTGGGGCCAAAGTCAAGAGACCCATCATTGGAGGGATAGAATTCAGCCGAAGCAAATCTGACAATTCCTCCCATCCTCAGAAAGATGAGGGGGATCCTCCAGAAACGATTGTGTCCTCCGGTAATGTCACCTCATCGTCTTAGGAGCTTTGGCAAAATGGAGGCCTGAGCCCCTTGAAGGCTGACACGTGGGGGATAGCTCTGCTTGCTTGTCTCCAGACGGAAGGAGGAAAGTGAGAACGAGTTAGTCTGAAGGGGAAATGGAGTACTGATTGGGGTCCAGCTGTTGGCATAAGACACATGGTGTCCTTTGAAAATATTTCCTCTCTGGGAGAATGTTGTATGTTGGTTTGCCCTGAGGCAACTGAGGGTTGTTAGGAATATTCAAACTCTATACATCTCTGAAAAGTGGACACTTGGATAAGCGGTGCCTTTGAATGGGAGTATGAGTGGGGAAGGAGAGAAATATCTTCAAATTGTTCCCCCCCCCCCAGGTAAAACTCCTGAACCCCTGAAACAAAGTTCTTGCTGTATTGGATTGACAGTCTTCTTCAATTAACTCCCTTATCAAGGGAAGCAAATGTGCTAGTATATTCTGAGTAATAGAAAGAGAACCGGGCTGGGATTTTATCTCAAGAGTTGTTCAGGTGCGTGTATCCCTTTGGCACTTAATCATCAGTGGAAAGTCAATGGGAATTAGATGCTGGAGACTGCTGTGGGTTACTCTGAGGAACATAGCCCCCATAGTCCTGGTTGTAGTTGAATCCTCAAGGAATTAGTGAGACTGTGACACGTGTGAATTAGACTGGGGCTGTTTGAACTTAATAGATGTGTCATTTGAACCTTTAAAAAAAAGCTGATAAATATGCTGCTTTCAGTAACGAGTTGCATTTTAATAACTTTAACAGCAGCTTTATATACACAGTTTTAACCATCAGCCGTGTCCCATTTCTGCTCGTGGTAATCATAAGAATTTTAAGAACGGCCCTGCTGGAGGCCTTAATTTCCTTCCAGGCAACTTTGTTGTATGACCTCCCATATCTTAGTGTAGGATACATATTTTTCCTTATTCCTCCTCCTGCCCCCCATTGATCAAACAACTGAACCTGGGGTGCTTGCAAGCAGGAGATGGAGCCATACCCTTCTACTACTTGTTGGTCTGCAACTAATATTTGGAGAAAGGCTGTTCTACCTATAGCTTTTCAAAATTAATAGCTCTTGATAGACTGATTCTCCATGAATTTATTCATTCCTTTTAAAAAACTACTTGAGTTAATGGCCATTGCCCTGGCTTATAATGAATTCTACGAGGTTAATTATGTGCTGTGTGACAAAATACTTTCTTTTGTTTTTCTTCTCCTTCCAATCAACTTCTTAGGATGATTTTTCTGAATCCCAACGTTTTTGAGAAGGATACACATTTTCCCTGTTTTCTTTCTACACAGCATACGAAATTTCCTATTTTCTTTTGCTATGTAAATTGTTCATTTGTGGTGGTGAAGTGGTTAGAATGTAGTATTGCAGGTTAACTCTGCCCACTGCCAGGAGTTTGATCCTGACTGGCTCAAGGTTGACTCAGTCTTTCATCCTTCTGAGGTCAGTGAAATGAGGACCCAGAATGTTGGGTGCAATATGCTGACATTGTAAACAGCTTAGAGAGTGCTGTAAAGCACTATGAAGTGGTATATAAATCTAAGTGATATTGCTACTCATTTCTCATAATCATCTTCTAAGGAAGATATTGAAAGTCAGTCTCTTTTGTTGCCCTCTCCTACAATTTTTCCAGTTGTGTTACACCTTTTTTGAAATGTAGCCAGAAACGTGCACTGCATTATAAATATGGATGAACCCTTTGTGTAAGGGCACTACAATTTGATAGTTTTATTTTAATCCCTAGCATGGACTATTTCTTTCTCATATTGCCACACATTTGGTTAACAACTTTATTAGTTGTCCGCTGTGAACATACATTTTTTTCCTAGTTAGTTGGACATATGAATATATACATGATTAAGGGGAGGATTACCTCAATGTGCAACATTTTATGTATTGAATTCTGAGATATAGTTTAGGCTGAAAGATGAATCACAAATATTAAGACTTCTAAGAATGAACAAAGAAATAAGACTGGGCCATTCTGCAACTTCAGCAAATGTCCACACTTAAAGTCATTATGTGTCCTTTCATTTTAAATGGTGTCCAGTGACTGCAAATCCATGTCCATCCATGGAAAGTATTATTTGTATTAAATGAATGTATTTTATTACAGCATTAATTGCTATTTTGTGTTTGTGTATGTATGTGTATATTTTAATTTGAGTCAATATAAAATGTAGAGATGCTAATAAGCATAGATGCTATTTTATATCTGGACTGGTTGTCTTCAATTTTATGAGAAATTCATGCTTCATCCTAACCTGAAGGGAAGTTCCCCATATTAATTACTTGGGACATACATCTGTCTTTTCCACTTAAGATCAATCAGTTGCAAAGGAGGATATTGTGGGTTTCTGTACTTATAATAGTTGTGTGAAAGAAAGAATTTCTGAAGGTGCTACTTACGGTGAAATCAATGAGTGAGTGTCTCTGTGTATGTGTGAGGGATGAACCTCCTAAAATCATCAGAGTTCAATGGCAGAGGCCCTGTTTATATCTGGGAAGACCCAAAGATTAATTTTTTTAAAAAAGAAAAGAAAATGGCAGCAGTATCTCCACTGTTGTGGCTGTTAATCCATCAATATTGCATTATTGAGCTTAGAAACAAGATTATTGGCCCTTTTAGCATTATTTTCAGTGCAATTTTTTTTTAAAAAAATGTAAAATGTTTCTGATTTGGTTGTACAGTATAGCTTCATTGACCTTTAAGTATTAATAAACTGGATTTTGTATAAACTGTACATTGAGCTATCCTTCCTTTGATGTCATACAGGGCTCTGTTATAGTTTTGACAGGATACTTTTAAGAATTCTATGGAAGTACTCATTTCCTTTCTGCACTGAAAGGACAGCTCAGTATTAATCATGGTATATTTGCATGACATGCATGGACCTACCCTAACAATTTCATTTGTTATAGGCAAACATTATTTTGAAAGTGTTGGATTGTAGGGTTTATCCCAACTACCTTAATATTGGTTTTTAGATCAACAAGCCAAGATTCAAATGAGAATAAATAGTAGTTAAACTGCATTTCCCAATCTGATCGCTTCCAGATGTTCTGGTAAAGAAGTCCCTTCCTTCCTAACCAACTAGTTAGGCATTGTAATCTGAAAGACATCAAGTCAGGGAAGTCTGAATGAGAAAAAAGTAAATTATGATTGCAAGAATAATTTGATTGCAGGTTAAATGGAATAGGATCCAGTAGTTCTTTTTAAATACAGTGCTCAACCACTGAGAAAAATACTGTTACAGAAATCTGAAGCACATATATAGGTAAGTGCTCTGAAAATATATCTATAACTTTTTCACAACTATGTAAAAAAACTGAAATGTATCTGTTTTTCTTACATATATGTATCTAGTATGAATGCCGTCCTATTCAAATTAAGGAACAAAAGAGAGAAATGGGACTAATATTTCCTACAAGGCTTCATATTCTGGTTAGAATAGTTTTGGGTTTTTTTAAAGGAAGGAATGCACAGTATTCTCCCTCCACCCCATATAAAAAGTATGTTTCAATCCTATTATATCCACTTAACTGGAGGAAGCCTTTTTTGAACACATTAGATCTTATTTCTGATTACAAGCACATAGGATTTATTGTTAAGCTAAAATCCCGAGTTTTAACACATTGAGTATTGCCTCTTGTGAGATTTGCTAGACTTAATTTATTCCATTACAAAACATTTCTGGAAACTTCTCATTTTATGGTGTATCAAAACAATTGAAACCCAAAGCAGATTTTCGGTGGAGGCACAACTAGTGAGAACTTACACTTTCCAAATGATGCAGTAAACTTGGAAGTTGTGCAATGGCGCTGAAGCATAGCTCCCTTCATGTGAGCCGCCCTGAGTCTACGGAGAGGGGCGGCATATAAATTTAATTAATTTAATTAAATTAATTAACTTTCCAACAAATGACTGCTGGAGGACACTAAATTTGGGGTGGCTGGTTCAGAGGGAATATGATATTTAGATGGTTCTTCTGTGCCTCATGCTGGTTCTTCATTCCCAACTCCCCAGATAATTCCTCAGACTTTATTGAAACTTACAGGATGCAGTTGGGTTACAAAGATAACCTTCACCTTCTTAGGTTGTGTGTCATCTCTCTGTAACATTTTCTGGTGGAAAACTCAGCTGCCTGACAAATGAAAGAAATGTTTTAGGTTGCAGCCTTTTACTTCCTGAAGGAAATTCCAAAAATGCCCTGAAGACAAAAAACGGAAGAAGGCTGGGATTTCTCTCCATCTGTCTCCTGGTATGGAAGAAATGACTTCATTTGCAATCATTTCCTTTTCTTGGAGAGTGTTTTTGGCAAAGTTTGGAAGTGGGAGGTGATTGGTCAGAATACGCAAAATACTAAGATTAATTTCGCAAGCCTAATACCCTTTAGATGTATTGGGACTGCTGTACCATTCTAAGAAATGTTCTTCAATGTTATGTTGTTTGGAGATTCTGGGATTTATATTAGCACATTAGGTTCCAATTGTAGGAAGTTTGATTTTGGCTTTTATGGATTATTTCACTGGTTATGTTATCACAGGTGACCTTAATATATTTTCATGAAATATAGAAGATTGAAAATTCAAATTGCCCTTTTGTAATCTTGTTGCTAACCATGGCTTAGGAATGGCCTTGACACTTTATTTCTTTATACTATTGTTCTTGAAGTGCTGTTGGGCTTTACAAAGTTTTTCAAGGTGAAAGCCACACTTGAAGAAACAGAATTATAGAATTATTTAAAATACATTCTTTAATGACCGCAACACCATCATTTCAATGACTTATCTAACATTAAACAAAATAGATACCATTCTAAACTTCTAAGAAAGAGACAGAAGGTTATAAATCTAGACTACACAAAAAAACCTGATTTCTATTACTCTTATTTATAATCATATTTATAATTTCTAATAAATATGGAAGGGAAAAATGATAATGAATGCAAATGTTGATAGAAATGGGTAGCTTTGTAACCTCCTGGGCTGTATTTGCACAGCATACGTAATTCCATTAATGAACGAATTCATTTTTTTAAAGGTAAACATAATATACTGCTCAAAAAAATAAAGGGAACACAAGCAGAAGACATCCGAGATCTGAATGAATGAAATAGCCTTATTAAATACTTTGTTCTTTACATACAGTAGTTTATACACTCTCAAACAACTAAAGGGAACACAAAACTACTGTATGTAACGAACAAAGTATTTAATAAGGCTATTTCATTCATTCAGATCTCGGATGTATTCTGCTTGTGTTCCCTTTATTTTTTTGAGCAGTGTATATTGAATCATAACCAGATTGGTTGGGTTTGGTGCAAACTCCACAAATGGGGAAAGAAGGCCTGCCTTGAAGGCTAAAATCAAAGTGAGTGTGTTTTTATGAATGTAGCTGCTAAGCCTTTAACTGACCTGGTTAAAAGTCACTTGTGCAAATGCCTCATGATAACTTCTTATGCCTCAATTCTACTTGGCTAGTAATTCTCCTTAAGAACCGGCCAGTAGCTTTTTCTATTATTTGCTATCAGACTTTTTAAAAATGAGAGGTTACACACCAGATTACCTATGCTGTAGTACTAAGTATTGGTCCAATTCCATGTGATCTGGAGGGTGGCCAAGAAGATATAAGGACTACTGCCACATTGCTAAGACTCTTCCAACATCTCAAACTGATTTCCAACTCAACTCAGCTCACCCAACATCTCAAATTAGTTCTCAGGATGATAGAAACAAAACAAATGGGATTATCTATACAAAGAAAATGTCTAATTGAAACAGGTTAGTACTGCTCTATTGGCTGCTTGACCAAACACAGTTTGAAATGCTGTTACCAGTTGCCTGTGGAGGAATGGAAAACATAAAAGAACAGCCATGGTGTTCAACAGAATCCTGCTGCATCCATTGATGGAGGATAGCAAGCTGACAAATGTGCTTATTACCTGCCATATTGACATTTGCCTGCATGAATGTCAACTTCTTCACTCACCAGTTGCATCAGTAGGGATGGTGTCAGTCACAATTGTTGGCTGATTCTTACTTTGATCCCTTCCCATCAAGGTTTTGTTTTGTTGAGATCTTCCTTGGAAAGCATCTTCCAGATTCTTGGACAGGTAAAGCGGGCATTGATAATAGAGACTATCCTCACTTCCGGGTTTCTTTCACCTCTTCAGCACCACACTATGATAGTTTTAACTTCTGGTCCTGAGGTCAGTTTTATTTTAATGGTAAACTATTTGGGTTTCTTTTAAATGGGAAGCAAGACATAAATATTTTAAATAAATGCATTATTTTGCCTGATTTGTTAATTTCAGAGTAGAAGTCACTAAATTTTTGCACAATTTAAAGGAAATATCAAAAAACAAGATATGAGAAATGTATGTTGCTCTTTGTTTCATGAAATATTTGAGAACATTGTGTGTAGCCATACAAATGGAGTTTGCTTTCTCCAAGCTGCTATAACACATATGCTTCTGATTTCCTGATAAAAAAATAATCTTGCTTTATTTGATATTTCTAGAAGAACTAACCAGGTAGCCTGCTTGTTATTCATACAATCTGGAGAGTAGAGAGAGTTGGGAAATCACTGAACTTTTGACAGTGATCATATGCATTCAGCATTGTGTTGAATTAAAGGTGGCATCTCAGGCTTCCTAGAACTCTAGAAAACCTGCACCTCAACAGTTAGTTTTTAAACATACAATAAATAGCTTGTCATAGGTTCCTAATCTGAGATAATCCTGATGTTTTAGATTACAGTTCCCAACTATCATGATCATGATGATTCTGGGTTAGAGTTTAACCCAGTGGTTTAGAAAGCATCAGGTAGAAGGATGATATATCTTTTTTTATGTAGAAAGCTGTGTCTTAAGAAACTTAAGAACATTGTGGCAATTCTTAAGGCCAAAGAATACTTTTGGACCTCTGTTACATCACATCTCAGTTTTCTGGTTCTTCCTTCCCTTCCTATTGATGGAATTTCTCTTGGTTTACTCTTTACAAAGGGTGAAAAAAGAGATAGGATAGATGTCTTATGCAGTTAATAGCACAGTTATAAATATTGGTAGTTCATAATAAATTACTTCCTTGTACCTATGGAATGTTTATTAGAGAAGTCTGATTCAGATGATTTTATTTAGGCTTTTGTTTTTATTTTAGTTACAAAACAATTTCTCTTCACACCTCTCTTAGTCTTTATCTGATGGATCACACTTATTTTGGAACTGTGAGAAGAAACAACATAAAACTTTAGAACAGGAATCCTAACTACAACTCTACAGTATTTTATATCTGGGTGAGCTTTCCCGGGAACATGAAAGACCAGATAGAGATCCTGGGCCTGATCTGGCAAAGCAATAAAGTCTACAGTACTTTCTGTTCTAGACTTTAGGCAGCCTGCAATCCTTCTGCAGTATGACAACTTTAGTATGAACAACCTCATTGAGCTAACAAACACAGGTCCTCCCTCCCTCCCTCCCTCCCTCCCTCCCTCCCTCCTTCTTTCCTTCCTTCCTTCCTTCCTTCCTTCCTTCCTTCCTTCCTTCCTTCCTTCCTTCCTTTCTCAGTTTTCTTGGCAAGATTTTTGGAAGTAATTTGCCACTGTTTTTTTTCCTGAGCTTCATCTCTAAAAGTCTTAAGTTTCTAGTCTTAACAATTGCATCAAACTGATTCTGAAATAGAATTTTAGGCTTCATTAACAGAACAACTGTTTCCAAATCATGAAAACTAATAACTCCTGTGC